TGAGGCTTCGTGGGCTTCGCCCTTGCCATGCACCTTAATGTTGTCGCTCTCTGTATTCGCTAATGGAACCTTTCTTTTTCTTACGTATATTTTACCATCTTTACTCTGACTTACATAATAGAAAGGATGTTGTATTCCTCTGGCGTCATTAATATAATAGACTCTCGTTCTGATTTTGACAAGCTCATTTTACATCGTTAAAGTTTTAATTTAGTTTTTTATCTACAGTCAAATGACTCAGTCAAATCCTACGGACAAGACCAAGGGTCATAGATGTTGAAGCATTGAAGAAAGAAATTCGTGAACAAATTTTATCCGAACTGAAGGAACAAAAAAGACAGAAGAGAAAGATAGATAAAATTGTTGATAACAACAAAAAATATGCCGGTCCACGAAACTGTGAGAAAAAAAACCCAAAAAGAGTACTAATGCCAAAAAGACGGTCGGAAACCAACAAAAGCGTGGTAAAAACTCATAAATTCTTCAAAAAGATTCATTCTCGATCTCCCATGCTGAAGAATTTACAAATAAAAAAGAGATCTACGCATCAAACTACAGCCATAAATGAACTGAACCCTTTTCTAAAGCTCAGCTCTTAGTTTATCAAATTAACGTACCGAAATCCTTCGTCATTGCAATTCAAATTTTCATCAGTAACTCAATAAAAAAAATCGGAATTTTGATTAAAGCCGATGTTATAGGTATCACAAATACTACAAAACTTGCAGCAATATCGAAATTGCCCAGCAAAAGTTGAATTGCAAATTGCTCATATTTGTTTTGAAACTAAAAATCTGCTTATTTATTCATTAATTTTTTATATCATTATTCAATACTTTAATATAAAAAAAACAATACTATTTCACCTTTAAAATGAATTTCATAAGTCAAATATTATTTTTTGAAAATGTATCAATTTTCGATTAAAACAACAATGAGAATAAAATTTACGCAAAATTATTTTTAAAAAATGGTTTGAAAAAATTTTACAATGATGTAAGAATAAGATTGCAAGAAAGTTTGAAGTATTAATTTTAAGAAAAAAAAATTCGCGATATTATTTCATAGGATCTAAGTAAATCTGATCATTTGGAGTATCGGTGCACTAATGCATAAAACAAATATTTATAGTTTTTTTTGGATTTTATGATTTTAAATATATTCACAATTGGCAATCCCAATAGATTTTTAAAAAATAGGTAAATAAAAATAGATTACAATATGCACCAGATTTAAGAACATTGAAAACATAAGATAACTATAAAACTTCTGTTCAAACTGAAAAGTCAAATAGAACAAGAAAGAAGAAGCCAGATGTACTTTCAATAACGAACCAAGAGCTTATTGCAAAGTTTGTGAATTTCATTGAAAAACAAACCGAGTCAAAGAACCGAACCCACCAGTGAAAGAAGTTGAGACAAAAGAGATAATAGTATAAAATGTCAAGAAAACATTCCACCAAAATGCCAAGAAAGAAAAAGTAAATAGATATTAGATATTATATAATACAGAAGAACGAACAGTTAAACGAATTTACTCCAGCAGAGCATATATCAATTCGCTCATATTTCGATATCATAGACAATGCAGTTCAAATTGGTGACACTAATAGAAAATATTCTGACGCAAAGATTCCATCACAACCTGGAACTGCTAAAGATAACACATGGGTAACATTCAATCTCTCACTCTCTGGTGAAAATATGTTGACCTTTACAATACATTCATTACGTATAAAATGGAAGGTCAATTTATTGTAGATAAAGAAATTGGTTCAGGTTCCAATAAAACAAACCCACCAGGATTTTGGATTGGTTTCGATGACGCTTTCTATGCAGTTGCTGGATATCAAATCCTTGCAAATGGTCGTATCGTATATTCTCAAGACAACGCAAGAGAAGAAGCATATATAACTTCAAACTCACAAACTACCGAACAAATAAAGAAAGTCGATGTTTTTCAAAGATCGACATAAAGATGTATGGAGTCATTGGAGAACATGCAGAACAGGACAAATTGTTGTGGTCCAATTACAGCAGGAAAATCATTTGATTTTAGCTTCGTTTAAGAATCCTGTTAGAAGATTCCTTCCATTAGAAGCTATTCGATTTATTCCAGCTTTTGCAGGAAACATTCAGCTTAAAGTAAAGTTCAGTAGCGACGCCTTACAATGCAACATCTATATCTGTAATGATATCATTGCTTTCAATCCAAATCTTAAAGTTGCATTTGCTTCAGATTCAAATCCACCGACAAATAAATTTGTTCCATGGAATGAACCATTCACTATGATAACGAAGGCAGTAGAAGCTAGTGGAACAGTTACTATTACAACTGTAAACCAGCAACTATTTCGAACAAAGATGGATTTTAATGAATGTTTCATTCATCCAAAGTCATTCTCTTTAGACCCTAACATTTATACAGAACTTGTAGAACATTATACAAACGAGGCTTTATGTTTTCCTGTTAAAGTTATGGATTGGATTCCTATGGACGGTTCATTCTCAAAGAATACAGATAGTTCAAGTGCAACACATTTACAGCAGCTTATACGCCTATTAATGTTAAAAGTATTTGGGCACTATTTAGAAAGAAAGACAACTATTATGTTAATTTTGAGAACCCTAAGTTTAAATATCTTCAGCTTTCCATGGGAGCTTATGGAAATATGCCTGCAGAACCTGAAAAATCATATGGACCTGTATTTTATGAAATGGTTGCGAACGCTTGCAATACAAACAATGATATGATTGGATTTAATGAAGATGTTATGAGGTCATTGGTGGATGATGGTAGTGTGGAACATAAATGGGATAGCTATGACAACACACATTTCTTATGTGGTTTTCCAACAGAAGTGGACTTTTGCTTCCAGCAAGGTCAAACATCTACTGCTCCAATAACATACAAATTGTCTGTTAAAGGACCTATTGAACTAGCAACAGAAAATGTACCAAAGCCACTTATTGATTTATGAGGGATTGTTGCTTTGCAATACAAGTAGACAGTCAGGCATACCAATAATAAGACTTGACGACTATAACTTAGCAACTGACGACAGTGAGGAATAAAGGATGAACGTTTATTTTTAAAGCTTATAAATGAGTTCTTCATCAAGCTCTCGTGAACCTTCACCATCTATGAAACAAACTTTACCAAACGATTATGGAGCACCTATTGAATATTTCTTACGAGCTGCACAATGGCAAAGAGCAGTCTCACCAAGGTTAGGTGTTCCACCAGCTCCTGTCAAAAATAGCATTTGGTCAAGTCCTTATATAAGATATGGTCTCCCACTAGGTTTGCTAGCTACAGCAGGAGCAGTTATGATGTTGAAAAGAAATAAAGCAAATGTTGTAAATAATACTGAAGTAGCTGAAGTTAAACAAACTCCGACACCTTCGCCAAAACCAACGTCAAAACCAACGCCTTCACAAGCAAAACCTTCAATGACTCCTGAACCTATGAAAGTACAAACTCCTGTTCAAAAGTCAACTCCAAAACCGACTCCAACATTTAAACCAGAACCCACACCACAAATAAATCGTAAAACTCCTGCGTTTCCTTACTGAAAAAAATAACGTTATTTTTATTTAATATTAAAATTTTTATTTGATTGAAATGACGACTAAAGTCACTGAAGCAATGAAACAAAAATTTTTGGTAGAATACATTAAATCAGGAGCGGTTCCAGAAGGTTTTTACGTTCATACTATGAAGGATGGTAGAAGTTCAAGTTAGAAAATAGATAGAAATATATTAAGGAAGATTAAACTTCATGAGGACAACATTGCTGAACTTAGGAAGAAGTTAGAAGAGTTGGAGAAAGGAAGAGAGTTATAAAGTAATGAATTCAAGTGGGTGAAAAAAGAGGTGAAAAAAGAGGTGAGATCTCACCACTTCACCTAAATTTATTTTTTCACCTCTGACAACGTTTATTTTTAAGTTTATTTTATTATTTAGCGAGAACGTTTATTTTTTATTTTATTTTTATATAAATGACGAAAACTATTGAGATAACAAACTACAACGGTCATGAGTT